AGCGCCCTCTGTCGCGTCACACTTGTATTGACATTAAGTCTGATCTTTATTGACATTGGGATCAATTACTTAATCACAGAGCGGTGGTAAACTTCCACCAAACGAACAGCCCCTAAGGCATGGTACACCGTTCGTTACCTGATATCCCCCCTTGCGTTTGGATAGCCGCTCATTGTTGCGTAAGGTTAAATAAACATATTTGTGGGGTTAGGCCAGGTTAATTCTATCTCCGATCAGGCCAGTCTGCTGGTCCGCCACAAACTTTGGTGTCAGTTGTCCCGCCACAATAGCAACAAACTCATTGACGCGTCGTCGTTGTTACTGCCTGTTATGTATGGAGGATACCAGTAATATTTGCACACGCCCCGTTCCAGAGAAAATGAAGGTAGGCCTACACAGTTTATCTATTCCTATCTTGTCCCCCTGAGCATCTTCAGAATTCGAGATATTTGACTGAATGTCGCTTTTAGGCATCATATTCCTGTGTGACTTCATACACACCCGTGCAGTGCAAACGTGAAGTTTAACGTTTGAGTTACGACGAGAAATATCGGAGAGTCTTAATTAAGTTTGGGATGATTCGTTCGTCGGGAGGTCGTCCCAGTCTACAATTGGCCTTGAGAAAAAACTTTCTGATATGTTTGAGTGTGGCATTGTAGGGAGCATGTAGCACTGTTTTTTTTTGGGGGGGGAGGGTATATCTTTCTACTTGGGTGGTATGACATGTATGAGGGATTTCAATAGTGTTTGCTTGTGGGCAACGCAACATCAAACACAACGCGGTCTATTGCAAGCGTGCAAGTACTGTACTGTGAACAATTTGTGCATGTACACTGCATGCATCGTTCTGGCTATGAAATCGTCCAAACTTTAGCCATGTGAGCGCGAACGGCCAAAAGGGGATTGTTTTGTGGGCGGGTAAACGCAGGATCTTTTTATTCATTTTTGGGTAACAATTAAAAGGGTAAAAATTAAATTTACGCTTTTTAAAAATGGTTACATTTTTATTGTTATTTTGTTACCCTTTAAACTTACTACCTGATTACTCAGCCGTAAGAAGAACAGATAAAACTGGTATCGATTCAAATTTGTGAGCAACATCACCTAAATTTACTATCAAACCTGTTAATGATATGGTGCTTATCAAATCTCAGAAATCAAATTTGGGCCACTCTATTTACTGCAAGCACTTCAACAAAAGTTAACACCTAACACAACCAGCGAAAACTTGATTCTAAGCATGCATGTGAAATGGCCTAGACTGTATTCACGCAAATTATGAAGCAAGATATGGGACGGAGAGAGCCCCCCACTTTGTGTTGATCATTGTTTAATCGGAATCTCGGGAATTCTTTACAGACAGCTAGGGGGGATGAGTTAGGTAACAATACTCTAGGGTGTGTATAGGGGTTGAANAAATAGCAAGCAGAAGAACAAGAACTCTTGCATTCTTCCAGCGTTATTTTTCTACCCAAAGCAAATATGGAAATGAAACTTACATGAATGGATAGAGAACGAAGTACTCTTCAAGATGCCACCAGGATTGCTGGATTTGGACAGTTTTCAGGTCTGTTATGATCCAATATATGGACCCCTCTTTGCGCGGGAACACAACCTGTAACGTGTAGGCAAACGGAGAATTTAAAAAAATAGCAAGTAATAAAACAAGAACTCTTGCATTCTTCTCGCGTTTTTTTTCTACCCAAAGCAAATATGGAAATGAAACTTACATTAATCTATAGAAAAAGATGTGTTCTTTCAGATGCCACCAAGTTTGTTGGATTTGGACAGTGTTCAGGTCTGTTATGGTCCAATATATGGACCCATCTTTGCGCTTAAACACAACCTGTAACGTGTAGACAAACGGAGAATTTCAAAAAAATAGCAAGCAGAAGAACAAGAACCCTTGCATTCTTCCAGCATTATTTTTCTACCCAAAGCAAATATGGAAATGAAAGTTACATTAATGGATGGAATAAGAGTTGCTCTTTCAGATGCCACCAGGAATTTTTGGATTTGGACAGTTTTCAGGTCTGTTATGGTCCAATATATGGACCCATCTTTGCGCGGGAACACAACCTGTAACGTGTAGACAAACGGAGAATTTCAAACAATAGCAAACAGAAGAACAAGAACTCTTGCATTCTTCCAGCGTTTTGTTTCTACATAAAGCAAATATGGAAATGAAACTTACATCAATGGATAGATAAGGATGTGCTCTTTCAGATGCCACCAAGATTGTTGAATTTGGACAGTTTTCAGGTCTGTTATGGTCCAACATATGGACCGCTCTTTGCGCGGGAACACAACCTGTGACGTGTACACAAACGGAGAATTTCAAAAAAAGAGCAAGCAGAAAAACAAGAACTCTTGCATTCTTCCAGCATTATTTTTCTACCCAAAGCAAATATGGAAATGAAACTTACATCAATGGATAGAGAAAGATGTGGTCTTTCAGATGCCACCAAGATTGTTGGATTTGGACAGTTTTCAGGTCTGTTATGATCCAATATTTGGACCCCTCTTTGTGCGGGAACACAACCTGTAACGTGTAGGCAAACGGAGAATTTAAGAAAATAGCAAGTAATAAAACAAGAACTCTTGCATTCTTCCCGCGTTTTTTTCTACCCAAAGCAAATATCGAAATGAAACTTACATGAATGGATGGAGAACGACGTACTCTTCAAGATGCCACCAGGATTGCTGGATTTGGACAGTTTTCAGGTCTGTTATGGTTCAATATATGGACCAATCTTTGCGCAGGAACACAACCTTTAACACGTAGACAAACGGAGAATTTAAAAAAATAGCAAGCAGAAGAACAAGAACTCTTGCATTCTTCCAGCATTATTTTTCTACCCAAAGCAAATATGGAAATGAAACTTACAACAATGGATAGAGAATAATGTGCTATTTCAGATGCCACCACCATTGCTGGATTTGGACAGTTTTCAGGTCTGTTATGGTCTAATATAGGAACCCATCTTTGCTTGGGAACACAACCTGTTACGTGTAGGCAATAGCAGAATTTAAAAAAATAGCAAGCAGAAGAATAAGAACTCTTGCAAACTTCTAGCGTTATTTTTCTACCAAAAGCAAATATGGAAATGAAACCTACATCAATAGATAGAGAAAGATGTGCTCTTTCAGATGCCACCACCATTGCTGGATTTGGACAGTTTTCAGGTCTGTTATGGTCCAATATAGGAACCCATCTTTGCGCGGGAACACAACCTGTTCCGTGTAGGCAAACGGAGAATTTCAAAAAATAGCAAGCAGAACAACAAGAACCATTGCAAACTTCCAGCATTATTTTTCTACTGAAAGCAAATATGGAGATGAAACTTACATTAATGTATAGAGAACGACGTACTCTTCAAGATGCCACCAGGATTGTTGGATTTGGACAGTTTTCAGGTCTGTTATGGTCCAATATATGGACCCCTCTTTGCGCTTA